CAAGTGATATTTTAGGAACCTTAAATGTTTAGCCATCTTTATTAGTGAGTTCCCTTAGTAAAACCACCCATTTGCTGTCAATATGTTAACACCGCCCCTAGCAACTTTAACTAATTTGAATAACATCAACAGTATATCACTGTGTCACATGACACACGCATTTAGGTAGACCTGATTGATATATTTTGGTAATTACTTTTTTGTTGTTCCGTGCTCTCTGTTTTCGTTTTAATTTCTCTAGTTGTAGATAATTATCATTAATTCGATCCGGCACACGAATTGACCTTAATTACTCCGTTCATAAATCAACGGGCTGTCCATTTAAGAAATATTAAAAATTCCCGGCTGATGCATTGGATCACTGTAATATATGTACTACTTAAACAACTACTGAACTAGTGTACTTAAAATTTTCTTTTATCACATGTTTGTTCTGCACGTCTAACGTTATTATTTATATCAAATTGATCATGCCTGTAAACTGGCGTGAATTCTGTAATTTTTGTTTTCAGAATATTAAATTATTATTATTATCATTATTTTCTAAACTTTCTTCTTTATTCCCCTTACTATAACTAATATCCATGGTCTTAATGTTTATACGTGAAAACTTCACAACGTGAAGTGAAAACACAAAGATTGGTAATAAAAGATGACGATTTATTGATTTTCCAAAAAACATGGCACCGTTAAATCGAATACACTTATTTATGTACCGATTTTAGACATCATTGATTATTAATTAATAAATATTATATACATGGAAAGATAAACAAGGTTGTTGTAATAAACATACGAAGTGTGCTCAAACTAAAGAAAGTATAATCGTTATAATTCGAGAAAGTTCACACCTAAGCAAAATTTACACTTGATTAATATTGACCTGAAATAATGCTACATTGGAAAATATAATCTCGATATTGTACTGATTACAATTGGAATTTGAGAATAAAACCGATTTCATACTGGAATATAGAACCAATAGGTGAAGGTAAAGTATATGGGCGACCTTGAAATACTTTTTAGCTAACCATAAAAGTGTTTGGTTAGGAAATGATATATCATTAAAAAGTTGATATAATCATAGTGGATAAGCAGTTCTAAGTTAACGAATTGTTACGTTTTAGGCCACGGATCGGGATCAGCTATGGTCAAACAATGAGCTTCGTGCTGTAATCTGATTTATTGAGTGAGAATAAACTCCACTTACGTTCGTAATTTGTTCCTCGCACCTGGTAACCAACGAAAATGAAGCGGGAATTATAATTTACCATGTTGTAATCCATGATCGAAAGTGTATTTCGTTCTGTAGTTTCCTGCGATGGAAATACCAGTCCATTATACTATGGACGTGTAAAGTATAATGCAGTGGGTCATGATAGACAAAAACATGACCGCGATTACTGACTACGATACGCTTATATTACCAGAAAATGTGGAGTTTACTTCAAGTCAATTAGTTTGTTGACATACCTAGATTAATGAAATGCGGACATATGAGCTTGCTTTTTTTCTCTTAATTTATCAGCATGCCAATGCATTTTGGAAAACGGACGTCAAGTCATAACTTTATTTATTTGTTTGAACACATAAATATTGAAACAGAGGGGCACAGAAAACATCTGCGACACACAAGTCACTTGTTTGTGTATGGGCTATGATACTGCCCGGGTACCCAAACCGAAGCAGGTGGTTTCCTTAGGGCACCACACTCCGAGCCTTTGACCTGAAGGTCTAATCCACAAGACAGTGGAGTAACGTAAAGGGATGCAGTCCAATGGTAGTCGGTGACCAACAATAGGTTCACATGTTATTTGTTCCTTCAGGATCCTGGAGCTCATTTGCACCATTGGTTTGGAATCAGGGTTTACCAAATCCCCTAGATGGATTCACCAACCCGGTTAAAGCGCCAGACATTTGCTTTTTGTCCTGTTAATTTGGTAAACAACATCCCCTCCACGAGAAGGTAGTGAGTAAGACCTCCCTGGCAGTGGTTGCATGCACGTGACCATATGAGAGTATTTCGAGGAAGAGAGAGCTGACTTTTCCAACACTCGGTCGTACCAGGGCATTTGGCGGCCGTATTATGCTTATTGACTAGTTATGGCGATATCAGTTACATGTAAGACTCTTTAGGAACTGTCAGTGTAAATTAATCTAATAGTTTGACTACTGTCTGTCCGTACTGTTAGAGAAAACAGAAAGGCACCCTCTGTGACATAAGTCATGGGAAGGAGAGATGTTATGAACTCAAGGTAACCGCATTCCGGTCGTTAAAATGATGAAAAGAGTGCTTATTACTAGATTACGCTCAATGGTATGATATGGCCAGCTGACACCTCAAGAGATCCCAAGTAAGCTGATTCTGAAAGACTGCATAATTGTTTTTCCTATATTAAAATACGCGCTTTCGTACAAAACATTTATAACAAAATAAATATCACTATATGTTATTTAGCGCATGAATAGGATTAGAATAGAGGTTTTTTAGGTCATTCATATTCCAACTAAATCGAAACTTAACCATCAAGTTGAATTCTTGCCCATAATATTAGAAGAAATATAAAAGTACTAAATATACGTAATTATGAAGGAAGTATGATTGTAGACAATAAAAATACACTAGGTTCCTTAATGAAAATGATTTAGTACCTGCCGGAATTTTTTTACGAATCAGCCTTTTTATAAATCAACCTTATATATTTTGATTTCCGTCGCCGGTGGGATTTTTGTAAGCTCTCTAACCTAGTATAAGTTAAACATTCAACTGGGCGCTTGTTATCATGTTCGATAATTACTTAGTATGTAATATCTTATTAAAAAATAAAGGATGGAGTTGATAATTAGAACGAAACAATCAAATATATGTACTACTTGTGTGGATGAAGATATTCAATCACATTGCAACTGACTAGAAAATTTTGTTATATTGAGTAGTCTGTAATGTTGATAAAATTAAAAGTTTATTATACTGATGAGACGTCTTTTTATAGAACTTTTTTTAGACTTAACGTTTGCCAAATCCCGTGTTACATGTCACAGGAGAATTTAAGATAAAAAGCATCCTCATTATTTGTAGTATAAAAATAATTTTCAGTCTAGCTTGGAATCTATCAGACTGAAGTTTCCATACCAGTTCAAAAAGTGCTCTAGTCGGCATGCGTGGATAAATGTTTTAAAACAGCTGAAGACTATGACCACGTATGAATAAACTGTAATGAACATGAAATCATTGGGTACTAGTGTACAAATTACTTGTCGATTTATACCGAGACAACAAGGATGTTCATTGCGCCATAGCGACTTTATTTAGTGGCGTAGTGATTAAGACTTTCTTCAAAATCCTAAGTTGCATAAACGAACCCCGTTCCACCTACTCTTGTTTAAACAACCGAGTAGTATTGGCACCCTTCACAAATAAAGTGTGGCTCCAAGTCAGTAATATCTAGGTTCGTTATAATTTTCAGGTAAATTACAGAAGGATAAACAGTTCGTTTTTAGTGAATCCATATTTCAACTGTACATTTTTGTTTTGACGGGCAGCATCCAAAATCTGATACGCGGTGTGCTACGCTCTAATATCCAACTGACTACTTGAATGGGATCATATGAGTGAGCGCAGAAGAGTATTGGGTTACCGAATAAAATGCATAAATACTCATTCATATGTATGCTACTCTAACCCTTAGGAAATCGATCCGTTTCTTAGCCAATGAAATGCACTTGTATTTAAGGTCACTTCTGATTGCCATTGATTGACCTTCTAATTGGCTTTCCATATCAATTTTCATGGAAATTAATAAGACCAAATTGCCGACATTAGTATATATATATATATATATATATATATATATATATATATATATATACCAATGGTAAACAAATATACAATATTCTGTGTTATGACTTGATGCCCCTATATGTCATGGTACGACCGAGTGTTGGAAAAGTCAGCTCTCTCTTCCTCGAAATACTCTCATATGGTCACGTGCATGCAACCACTGCCAGGGAGGTCTTACTCACTACCTTCTCGTGGAGGGGATGTTGTTTACCAAATTAACAGGACAAAAAGCAAATGTCTGGCGCTTTAACCGGGTTGGTGAATCCATCTAGGGGATTTGGTAAACCCTGATTCCAAACCAATGGTGCAAATGAGCTCCAGGATCCTGAAGGAACAAATAACATGTGAACCTATTGTTGGTCACCGACTACCATTGGACTGCATCCCTTTACGTTACTCCACTGTCTTGTGGATTAGACCTTCAGGTCAAAGGCTCGGAGTGTGGTGCCCTAAGGAAACCACCTGCTTCGGTTTGGGTACCCGGGCAGTATCATAGCCCATACACAAACAAGTGACTTGTGTGTCGCAGATGTATTCGGTTCCCATTTGTACCAATGTTTATGTGTTTAAATAACTAAATAAGCATAGCGGGATGAGAATAACACGACTCATTTTAGTAAGAGCTCTCAAATATCGATAAGCTGATGTGGAAATTCAAAAGCGAAATCATTTGACTTGGCTACTTCAGAAAGCATTACAATGCTTTGACAGAAGCATGTTCAGGATTTTATACTTCACCTACTTAACCTTTAATCTAAAATATCACATACAAGTAACTGGTTTGTGTTAATTGAGGGGTGATGATGCAATCAAGGATGTCCAAATAGTTTGTACTACGTCCGTAGAGAGACTGTTAAGCTTCTCTTAAAACAGAAGCTGAAATGCACAGATATACCTCCCCCATTATATCTTAGAATGAGTCTTATATTATGATTTAGTATCTCTAACAATACTTCAGTGTTAACATATGATATCGTCCCACCTCCCATTGAGACAAATAATACTTAAAGCTATTGCATTAAAATTCGGATATCACGACTTAACTAACTCAACTTAGGATTACATTATTTCCCGACTGCTTAACGATGATAAACTACTTGGACAAATGCTAACAGCTCAACAGGGAAAATCGGATCTTTGAAAACATCTGAACAATAAACAAGGGTTAATAGGCCGTATATTTACTAGTGAAGTACTGACAATCAGATATATATGAAAATAGGGGTGAATCTGATGGAAATTTACATAAACTTATTGTAAATCTTATTTTAATGTGAGATCTTGACATCAACTTTCATGAGATTCGGATTAATGTAGACAAAAAGAGTTCTCAAGATGGGGTTTTACTTGGATGTACTGGATTAGGGCACAACGGACTGAGTTACATAAGATGCAGAAACTAACAAAACTTTATTAAAACATATAGGAACAGATCAGTAAATATATTTCTTAGACGTTGGATACAACACAGTCCAAAACTGCGACTTACATTTGTAAACTGAGGTATATTTGATGTTAATGATAAAATAAACTGCATTCAGAGTACAAACAAAGAAACCCAAAAACGTCATGAGGTTATATTAAGCTTATGGGTATATAAAATGCATATGGAAGAACTAATTTTTTCTATACATGTTTGAACTTTATGTACAGTGGTTTAGAAAGAAAGTTTATGATTGGTGTGGAATTTGAAGATTGGAAATTATTTGACTTTCCTTTGCATCAGCTCCATAACATCAGCTTTCGCTAATTGTCGGCCAACCAGGACAATAACGACACCACCCGAGAAGAAAAGACAAGGCAACCAAGCAGCCATCATGGGGTGAGAATATCTATATAGATGTCCATTATATTCGTAACAAGTTACCTGTAGAGCTGCTTCCAAACAAATGATTGAAAAATAAATGTAGCAAGCAATGCGACTGCCATTCCAAAGACAAATCCAACAAGAGACCTGTCAAATACCCACCACAGTGCAATAGATAGTCCAATTGCTGTAAGTGATAGCTGTGAGTATGTGGCGAAATCTATTCTAGCGGTTGCATGGCTAAAACCGAAGAACAGAGCAGCACACCGCAGAACCGATGACCACTCCTTATTATAAGCATCGAAAGCACCAAGTTTAGAGTCAACACATGGAGATAAAAGACCTACTGTGACTGAAAATTTACTATAATTCTGAGAAATATTACATACCTGAGGCAACGCCACAACAGAAAGATATCCAAAATTTTGCAGCACTTTCTGTGTAAAATGATATCTTAGAAGCCGTAAATTCTCCCTTTATGTTGTGTAGTGCTTCGGAAACCCAACAAAAACATATGCCCAGAAAAAAGAGGAGCAGACCACGATAGACCAACACCGGAAACTTTGTCGTTTGCAAGAGAAGCACCATCGCTCGACTAACTACAACCTTGTAGTCAGCTGATTTCTGATTGAGTGATGCAGTTAAACGAGTAGTGAAAAAGTTTAATGCCATATAAACACATGATATGCTAATTGAACATTTGATTTCTGATCTAAACGACGCCGATTGCCTTTGAAGTACTGTAAATTACGACTTCATTATGAATAAGTTTGTAGGCTATATTTATTATAATGAGTGGCTTTGTTCAACATTATGTTTTTGGTGCAATATAGAATTCTCATCACAAGGTATTTCAAAAAGTTTCTTTTACATAAAGGAAAGAAAGTGAAAGAACTTGGTAACTAAATACCTATATACATAAGTTAAGTGAGTAAAGTTCCTTGTTTTGATAGTTTATTACGTATCAAGACTACTGTTTTTCACTTTAATTGAATTTATTTCATTTAAAGTATTCGACTAAAGTATCGTTTTTACTGTTTTGTTGTTGGTACTCTTGAGTACCTCTTTTTCAACTGTACCTGTTAGTACTTTTGGTCCTAGCAATCTCCAGCTCTTCACTTTTGGTCATTGATAAATTTTTTGTTCTGAGTATCATCACAGTTTAAAAAAGTACCCCTCCTAAATGACCGGACAGTGTAAAAAAAAGCAGTTGTTAACGTCCGGGTTGTCGTTATCCTGTTGAAAGAGGCATGCAGTGCGACGAGTGCAAAGGCTGGTACCATGAAGTTTGAACGAACTTAACGCCTGCTGCTTTCAAACGGTTCAGTAAGAAGGGTTGTGTGTGGCTTTGTCAACAGTGCTGCTCGGATGCAAACAGCTTGCTAACCGAGGCCATTTCACTGGTTGATGCTGCAAAGAAGTGTTTTAGCAAGCATCGTCGGAATGCGTCAAACAGCACTCGATCTGTTGACACGCAAATCAACGTGAAGGAAACTAAGGTTAGTCTGGTGATAGATGACTCACGCCCGTCGAAGAAGGAAAAGCAGTCTCCAAAGGGGTCTGCCTTAAAAAAAAGCTCAAGAAAAGTAGGGTCTTCTGTTCCCCCTCTCCCAGATGGGATCCAACAGGAAACACCTAGGAGCCGCAATCGCAAGGCTCGATCGGTCTCAAACGGTAAACATAACACGACCCCTCAGGTCGCCGACAACCCCTCAAAACCCAACACTAGGTTTGACGAAACAGTTATTGCTTCTACCAGCACCGTTGACGAATGGGTATAGGTTGTAAGGAAGAAAAGTATTGATATAAAAGGGAAACCTGCCCCCGTAAAAGTGGTTGAAAAATCGAAAGCTGATCATAGCGACAGATCAGCTATTTTTCATAGAATCAAGGAGAGCGATAGCTCTGAACCTAAAGCTCGTTTTGAGCATGACATTGTACTGATTAGGCAGCTGCTTAATCAACTCATGCCTCAAAATATGACCGGGGTCACCTTGCTAAAGGTGTACAGACTAAGGAGTTTAACGGACTCGAAACCAAATCATTCCAGACTACTTAAAGTAGTATTCGGCTCTTCAAACGAACGTGACCTAATTTTACAAAATGGACACAAATTAAAGGGTTCAGGAGTCTTTGTCCGAAAGGACCTACCGTTGGCAGACCGTGTTAAAAGACGGGAAGCCGAGAAAGAACTACAACATAGGTTACACGCTGGCGAAAAGGACCTGAAAATTGTAAATTTTCGGGTTGTAAGACTTCGAGAGAGAATGATGCCGAAGCCACTCTGGGTGAAGCACGAAGGCACTTAAACAGGCTTCGGATCTGTTACACCAATGCACGAAGCTTACTTAATAAGCGATCGGAACTAGGTGTACAGATTGACTCTACAAAGCCAGATATAATCGCATTAACAGAAACCTGGCTGACACAGGCTATAGATAGTATAGAACTTGATTTCGAGGGCTTTACGTTAGTAAGGGCCGACAGAACACAAAGGCGCAAAGGTGGGGGAGTATCTCTATTCATTAGGAATGCTATCCCATTTACCATTATCGATAGTGTATCCCATGAGAGTGGGACGTGTGAATTAGTTAGTCTTCGCTTAAAATGCAAGGGACAAGAGCTGCTGATTGGTTTGGTCTATCGCAGTTCAAGCTGTGAGGCAAATGAGATCCTGTTAAGCAGTCTCAATACTTGGTCCCAAAGTGGTCGATGTCTAATCCTAGGGGACTTTAATGCACCTATGGTAGACTGGGAAAATCTGCGAACTGAATCGTCGGAGAATTCTTTCGAGCAGGAACTAGTTGATGGGGTTATCACATGTGCCCTAGTGCAACATGTGAAAGAGGCGACTAGGTACGACCCGGACACTGAATCATCCTTATTAGATCTTATACTGACTCACTATGAGGATGATGTTGCGAACCTCCACCATATGCCACCCTTAGGTAAAAGTGACCACGCAGTTTTAACTTTCGACTTCCATATAACTGCCAGTCATGAGGACGCGTCAGTCCTGTCCAGACCCAACGTCTGGAAAGCAAACATACCAGACATCATGCACTCAGCATCGTTAATAGATTGGACAATAGACCCAGAGTCCTCCATTGAAACGGCCTGGGACGCATTTCGAAAATCATACTTAAAAGTTACCACACCTCACATCCCTTGGACTATACCAAAGGGGCCGAAAAACTCACCACCATGGTTCAGTAGGGAGGTCCGTATCCTTCTCCGTAAGAAAAGGAAAACGTGGGATAGATTTAGGTTACTGGGGACTGATGAGTCAAAATCTCAGTATCGAAAGGCTCGGAACACTTGTGCTTCGACCCTCCGTAAGTCCTGAAAATTGAACGAAGAAAAACTTGTTAAGGAATCCATAGAATGTCCTAAACGCTTGTGTTCCTATATAAACCAAAGGACAAGGAGAAAAGGAAATATTCCTGCTCTATGGGGAGACAGTACTGCTTCATCATTAGTGGAGGATGACTTTGGTAAGGCTCAAGCGTTCTCGAACTACTTTAGCAACGTGTATACCATAGAAGCGCCCTTCTCGTCAGCGTATACAGATCCCCCCATACATACACTGGATAGCGTGACCATTAAAGAACTCGATGTCTTTGGTCTGCTGAATAAGCTTGACATAGGTAAATCCATGAGGCCCGATGAATCGCATCCCGGGCTACTGAAAGAATTATCTAACTTCGTTGCGAGCTCTTTAAGTATACGCTTTAACCTATCCGTAACTCAGTGTCGTTTACCAAAAGACTGGCGAAATGCCATAGTAAGTCCTGTCTTCAAAACAGGCCCGAAACACAAACCTGAGAACTACCGCCCCGTTAGCCTAACTAGTGTGGTTGTTAAAATATTAGAAAAGATTATTCGGAAGGAGCTGTTTAAGTATCTCGATAAAAACCGGATCCTCTCGGAGAAGCAGCATGGCTTCAGAATAGGTTATTCTTGTCTCACTAACTTATTAGTGGCTCGTGAAAGCTGGTGTGCTCTTAAGGACCAAAAGCTACCTGTAGACGTCGCCTTCATTGATTTCAGTAAAGCTTTTGATAAAGTTCCGCACAACCGGCTGTTATATAAGTTAAGACATGTCGGGATTGGAGGTAATTTATTGATGTGGATAAAAGACTTCTTAGTTGGGCGTCAACAAAGAGTAAGGGTGAACTCAAAGTTATCTAGCTGGGAAACTGTGCTTAGTGGAGTGCCCCAGGGTACAGTTTTGGGGCCAGTGCTATTCCTCTTGTATGTAAATGACCTTCCTTGTCTCCTATCATCATCGGTCTTGCTATATGCTGACGATGTCAAGATATGGAGAACGATACGATGTAAGAGTGATAGCTTAGAACTTCAAAATGACCTGAAGAAGTTATCTGAATGGTCTCAAACATGGCAGTTGCCGATAAATACTTCCAAGTGTGTTGTGATGCATATCGGTCATCAAGGCACAGATACATACACGATGAATAACGCTGAGCTACCTGTCGTCCAGACATATAATGACTTAGGAGTTATCGTTAGTCAAGACTTAAAGACTACTGCACACTGCCGTGCAATAGCCGCCAAAAGTTTTAGAACGTTATGGTCAATACGTAGGGCTTTTAGTCATGTCGACACTAAGACGTTTTTGACTTTGTATACAGTGTTCGTTCGTCCTAAACTTGAGTACTGCATACAAGCGGCTAGCCCCTGCTTTAAAAAAGACAGTGAGCTTCTGGAAAAGGTTCAGAGAACGGCGACTAAGCTGATTCCCGGAATAGCGAAGCTTCCGTATGAATCTCGACTGGCCAAGCTGAACCTTTTCCCGTTGTCATATCGCAGAACTAGAGGCGACTTGATTACAGTCTACAAATTGCTTAGTGATAAATTTGCACCTAACATGCCCTCATTTTTCTTGTCTTCCAAAACAGAGAATTTACGAGGACACTCCAAAAAAGTTCATAAGCCGAGAACAAATTACTTGTCAGCTGACTATCGACTTTCCCATCGAATCATCAACGAGTGGAATTCACTACCTCAGCACGTGGTTGAGGCTCCATCCGTCGACTCTTTCAAAAGAAAGTTGGATCAACTGAGAGACCACCATTGCCACCATTGCTGTCCATGTCTCAGGCTAAACTTATCATTTGAACATTTAAACGCATTAATTGTTAGACCATTACTAATGAACACTATTCATTACAAGACAAAAACTCATTCATTTCTATGGTATGCATAAAGGCAGAAAACGGTGTACATACAGTGAGGTTGTCCGCATGTTTGACAGAAGTTTTTTCTGTAGATCAAGCAGGAAAATTTTTAAGAATAAGAGAAAGAACAGCTCATTGCGGTTCACCTTTATGAAATGATGAAACGTCGAACACTTACCTGCAAACACAGTGTACTGTTCTCTTCCGGAGAGGTGGGAAAATATGTTTGTTTATCCAGCCGTCAGTGTTGTCGCTCATCAACTTGTCAATTAGTTTTCTTAGAACAGAGTCAAAAGCAGAAGTATAGTTCAGGAAAACGCATCAAACATGTATCTTACTTTTTTTCCAGCTGAACGCTATATTATGATGGAGAACAACCACAGCATCCAACGTTCTTCTCTTGCATTTGTAAGAGGTCGGATATGAATCAATGTGCACTTTTAGTGCAGGTTATAGTGAAAGTATCATCCTTTTTTTC